CTTCCTCGGGAACGCCTTTAAAAGTACTTAGGAGCCTTCACAGTTATCTATGTCTCTCATCAATGTTTGCATATTTTGTATCTCTTTAGCTTCCCATGCTGTGTTCTGAATTAATCTCTGCTCTATGTTCCAGTTCACTAATTCTCTCTTCAATGTAATCCATCCTACAGTTTAACCAGTACATTGATTTCATTGCATTGGTTACCTCTTCTGCCAGTTTTTTTTCTCCTCTGCCTATTTTTGTTGGATAGCTGCCTATTTTTATGTCATAGTTTCTTATTCTTTATGGAAATTCCTTTCATCTTATTAAAGATTGTAATCGTGTTTACTGTGATATAGCTCACTGTCTCCGTTATTTTCATCTCTCCTGAGGTGAGTTCATCTCCTGAGTGAGATTGCTAGCTCTTGTTCCATCCTCCTTCCTCCGCCACCACACCTCCCTGGCCAGCAACTTCCCGATCCTGAGCTCCTCGTCATGGGAAGCTTACATCTCCCATTCCCTCATGCTATTGGATGGTTTACAGTTTAGGTCTCAAGGCAGTGCGTGGGCTGGCCAAACTCAGGCCTTGTAAGATTGGGGCCAGCAATATGCAGATGATACACATGTCAGCTTCACATCCAAGTGTGTCATGGGCCTGGGATTTTAATGTATATGGTTGGCTCTCTGCACCATTCTAGGCTTTCTCTCTGGCTTCCTGGTCAGCACTGAATCCCCTGTCCACAGATGGTGGGGCAGGAAGGCTCCAGGCTTTATGTGGAGGATCAGCTCAAACAGCCTGATGGGCAGGGGCCAACTCTTCATGCCCCGCCCCTCCTGCCATGAGCAGTCCACGCCCTGGCCTCAGTTCCCATGGCTCTCCCTCCCACCCCTAATTCCCGCTACCCCCACACCGCCTCCCTCCTTCCCCATCTAACCTCTAGCCTTATTTTTCACTTCACTTCTGGCATCTGGAGATTTTATTGCCTTTCTCTTAAACTTGGCAGTGGATTTCTTATTGTTCTTTTTATGGCAGCATTTCCATGCAATTTTAATAGGAGGAGTGCCTGTTTATTTTAGCTGGGCTGTCACATGCTGGACATTTTCATTTGTTCTGTACACAGAGTTGCTCCCCCTGCTTTCAGCCCACTTCTCATCCTCGTCCCCTGTGGTACCTGCCAAAGGGAGAGTTGGGCTGCCAGCCTTCTGCAGACTGGCCCCTCCCCTTGTATATCTTATAGTCTGGCTTTTTCCGCTCTGTTTCTTTCATCAGTTCTTCCTTCCAGTTTAGCTTTAAGAAATGTGCTCAAATCTTGTTTCTACTAATGCTGGAGCATATTCTTTTCACTGTATGGTTTAATCGTTTTTTACTCCTTCCTGTCATTGTCCTGAGGCCTCCAGAGTTGGAAGGAAAAAATGTATTTGCTCGGTCTACTGTCTTGAATGGAAGTGCTCAGCTGAGTTCTCGGTGCTGTCTAAGCTTCCCTCCCCACCCCCACCCCCTTCATTTTTGGACCTAGGTCAGCTTTCTTCTTCTTTTCTGACATCTGCTATTCCCTCCCCCACTCCCAGCAGAGGGGCCTTAATCCTTTCTCTCAGAAAAACAGAAACCTCCTGTCTCCCGTTCTCACTCTCCGTTCTGCAAACTCCCCTTCTTATTGCCCATCCTTACCTCTGCTTTCTCTCCCGGAGGAGATGTGCCCCCCATCACTGTCCTCCACTGACCCTTCCACCCAACAAGCTACGTAGGCTCTCTCCTCCCCCCCCACCCCACCGAACCTCTTCCCTGGGCAGCTTCCCCACAACAAGATTCCAAAGCTCGGCATCCATTTCTTTCTCCAGATTACATTCCTAATTGTTGACTGAATACCCGGTACTTCTTCAAATTCAACATGTCCAAAGCTGGCATCTTTCTCTCTGAAAAAGTAACTTCTCCTCAAGTTGTCTCCATTGCACCAAGTAGTACCCATGTTCACTGAGTCACCCCACCACAAATTTGAGTGGTGGTGTTTTTTGCTTTTTATTTCCTTGAATAGTTCTAGAAGTGCAATGGCTAATAGAGCAGCTACTGGCTGCAATTTAAATTTGAGTTTAAGGTGATGAAAATAGCATACAATCACAAACTCAGTTTTGTTTTTGTTTCCCCCCCCCCCCCCATACAAATCAATTTTTAATCATTTCAGCTTGCCACCGGCTTCCAGCTCCAGTTCCACCAAATGCCCCAGGTTGAGCTAAACATCTAGTACGCAGAGGTGACCCAGCTGCTGACCTCTTAATCCACACCTGTCCATGGCAGCACGCTGGTGGATTCTCTGGTGCTAGTGCATATCTGCTCAGTGCTGAAGCCACAGCCCTGGTGCCAAGGTGGGGGTGGGGGTGGGTATGCCTCTCTTGAAGTCTAAGTGGAACAGTAGCCAGGGAGGTCTCTGCCCTTGCTCCCAGAGGTACACAGGCACATTGCCGGAACTCACTACCACGTGTGACCATGATGGACAGTGCGGTCGGAACATTGCCATCACTTTCAGAACTCCTTGTGGGCAGATGTAGGGTGGACTTGCTATGGTCACTCCCATGTCACTGAGTTCTTATCATTTCTCACCTGAACTGTCCATACAGCCCTTGACTCGCCTCCTTTATCTTCTTATTCCAGTCCGTTCCTTCATTTCTGTGCATTGAAATTAACACACACATACATCCTCCCAAGCCCAAATCAAAAGGAGAGAAGGCTGTTTAACTCCCACTGCCTTAGACTCCATTTCTTTCAATGCGTAACAGTGATCATTAAGTAATAAAGCGTAGACCAAAATAAACATGTTTATCATCCTTTCATTCTCAAAGACATTCTTCAAGTCCAAAGCTTTTAAATAAAAATGGATATGTAGACGCAGGGTTACTTTCAGCACACATGCCTGTGCACGCCTTCGCCCTGGAAAAGGACGTGGGGGAAATGTCTGTGGAGTAAGAAAGAGCCTGGTGCTTTCTCTGTTTCCATCTTTTCGGTGTCACCTAAAGTCTCCACAGTGAACAGGTTTTGCTATAGTGATAAGAAGGAGAAACGTTTATTTGAAACATGGGAAGTTTTAATGAGGTTTTTTGAATTGCTCAGGACAGTTTGTATTTTTTTTTAAAGCAAGATGAGTGGGCCCATCGGGATTCTTGGCACAGATCACTGATGGTGCTGTGAGGGACTCGGACACTCTGCAGGTTGTGGAGCGGAGTTAACAGGGTTACTTTTCAGGGCCTCGTAGACTTCCACAATAGAAAGTGAGATCCATGGTCTCCATCAGGGAGGCTTCCCTGGTGCCGGGGAGCAGGCCTGAGGGGGGAGCAGGCCCTTTCCCTTCGCCATAGCGTGTAACGAGGCATCCACACTACACCCAGTTCATGGTTTGCAGGGCACGTTCCATAACGAGCCCTGGATCTCTCACCAGCAACACCCTCAGCTTTGACAGGCGTGTGTTCGGTCTTTAACTCTCTTGAGGTCAGCCCTGTGTCTGGCGTGTCACTATCGAGTGCCCTTTGCTCTCAGGGAATGTTCCCATTTGGCTTCTAACGTGCTGATAAATTATTGAAATTTCAATTACTTTTGGTTCCCAATTTAGCAGGATGGTGACATCCGAAGTACATAACATGAAAGCTTTTCAGCTGCTTTTAGAGAAGCTTTTGCCTCGCGGGGTGTGGCGCCAGGGCCGCAGGGTCCGATTCTGCTCCTCCTGCGGCTGGGACTAACGGGCTTACGGCCCTGAAAGTCCTTCCGGTCAGTGCTGCTGAGGATGTGGCCCCTTCCCGGGGGCGTCGGACCTCCTGGAGCTTGTTGGGAGTGCGGGCTCCTGGGCCTTGTCCACATCTGCTCGGTCAGAACCCCCAGGGGGATGCGGGTTTTTAACAGCCCTGGACATCTGGTGCGCCTACACGTTTGGAAAGCTCTGCCTTAGACATCCTGGTGCTAATTGCTCCCAGCAAGGCCTGAGGCCTGTCACCCATTTGCAAGAGCCTATGGGTGCTGCAGTCTGTTTGCCCTTTAAGATGGACGCTGTGCACAGCGACAAAGCTGTGCTCAAGGTCATCTGAGAGACCAATCTACAGTCTTCACTGACTTGTCACAGAGAAGCAGGATTTAAACACTTAAATTCTGCGCAGGTAAAAGTGTGTTCTCAGTATCCTGCAGAGGGCCGTGTTGTTCATTTTTATACAAAAGCATTATTTGGATATTCCTTCCCACTGCCCAGGGATGAGCCGTCTTGAAGGTGCCAGCTCTGTCTCCTCCTTAGCCTCGCGGCCTTACCAGTTCGCATCTCTCTTCCGCCTGCGGTTCTTCACACATGGTGCGTCAGCATCATGCCTGTGCTCGTGTGTAAGCTGTTCCCCAGCCCACTCACCTGCACCCCCACCAAAGCCAGCCCTGTCCGCCCGTCAGGCTGCTGCGTACGCTCCCTCAGAACCTGTCCTTGGTCCTCTCAGGTGGAGGCACACCTCCCCTTCTCTGCCTCCTGCACTGCTTTGGGTCAGACGTGTACAGCCCGCAGTGTGCACCGTGTGGAACTCATTCGTCTCCCTCCTCTGAGCTCTGAGCTCCATGGAGTGGAGGTGCCGTCCTGGCTCCTTGGCTGCGGTGCCCAGCACAGCGTCAGGCACACAAGGAGCAGACTCCCTTAGAGAGGATGGCTGCACCTCTGCCGGACGCTTCCGGTGCCTTCGACAGCATGCCCACCTCCTGTCTGTGGAACGCAGATGCTGGCCATGGCAGGTCTAGTGAGGAATACAGTGACCCCTTAAAAAGAGAGAGAACATAAAGCCAATTACATATATATATATATATATATATATATATATATATATATTTTTTTTTTTTTTTTTTTTTAAGAACACAGTGACACCAGTGACATGAATGTGGACTCTACCAACTTAACTTGTTAGTAAAGGTGATTCCATAATGTAGATCAGTGTCCTACATCCACCATCTGGCCAGGGAATCCACCCACTGTGTCTAGAGGCATTATTTATTATTTTATTATTATTTCAGGTGCGGGAGCTTCAGACCCGACTGCAGAGCGTGCAGGCCACAGGGCCCTCCAGCCCCGGCCGCCTCACTTCCACCACCCGCCCCGTGAACCCCAGCACCGGGGAGCTGAGCACGAGCAGCAGCAGCAATGACATCCCCATCGCCAAGGTGAGCTTCGGGGGCGGCCATCCCGTTGGGCACTTTCAGTCAAAACAGTGTTTCCCAGCCTGTACTGAGGAGGCACTGTGCAGGCGTGCAATGAGCTCAGATGCCCAGAGCCTTCCCCAGGGTCCCACTCAGGCCTCCCACGCTGGAGCTGCAGGGAGATAACCCGCTGGCAGTTTTAAGTCTCTCTGAGCTGCAGCCTGGACTCCAGCACCCATTGGCCAGCCAGCTGGAGCATGTCACCACTGGCAGGTCCCTGTGGAGGGGGAGATGTTTTGTCCAGTTCTACAACACTAAGGGGTTTGGGATGGAGAGGTGCTTGCGAGGACTAAGGTCCAGCCCAGGAGGGGACCCTATGTGATGAACCACGGTCTCCCCACTCATCGGACTGCCAGCGCTGCCAGCAGGAAAATAGGTTAGGATGGGCGGCCACGGTCACTACGAGAAGTATCCCCTCCCACTCTCTGCCACAGCTCCAGGCTCATGTGGAGTCCATCCCAGAGAGACGGTTCAAACTCTCCCTTTCCCCTTCCCCAGTAGCCAGCCAGTCTCCACAAGAAGATCAGCTCTCAGCCATCAAGTTGAATACTTTAGGTCAAAACAGTGATTCGCAACGACAAGTGATTTTGTCCCCCAAGGGACAGTTAGTTGGCAGTTATTGGAGATAAATTTGGAGTCACCACTGGAGTGCTACTGGTATCTGCAGCTAGAAACCAGGGATGCTGCTAAACATCCTACAGCGCACAGGACAGCCCCCACACCAAGAGCACCCGACCCCAAATGCCAGCGGAGCTGGGTTGAAAACCCTGGGTTAAATGGATGGTAGAAAAATCGGACAAGTGGATTGTTTTTAAGATATGAATCGGTGTAGTTGCCATGGTTAACCAGCGGACTGATGTAAACTTTGTGAACGGTTTATCTAGGGAATGGCGTGTCCTTTTTTTGATGGTTTGTTGTTTTGTTTTTTTAAGATTGCTGAGAGGGTGAAGCTATCCAAGACCAGGTCTGAGTCCTCCTCGTCTGATCGGCCCGTCCTGGGCTCAGAAATCAGCAGCATTGGGGTGAGTGTCCATGAGCAGCAGGGCCAGAAAGCTCCCAGTGGAGCTGCACAGACAGTGGCTTCGAGGTCACCGAGGAACTTCCCAAGTTCACTTCCAGGGAGCCAGTTAATTATAATAGTAATTACGATTTCCTCCCAGAGTCAGATTAAAATCCACATGGGGAATTACTTCTCCAGCTTTAAGGGAGAGTTTTTTTTCCTCGACTTGAAACTGTTCAGAAAGAAATGATTTCAGTCTCGTTGCTGGGGATGTCCGTGAAAGTCTGGGACTGTTTGCTTTCTGTCCGCCTGCTGCCCAGAGGCTGAGCCGGGAGCCCTGAAAGAACTTCACCTGTGGCACCCCTCCTTGGAGGGCAGTGCCCTCTCCAGCGGGGACAAACGCTGCCTTTGACGTGAAGCCCAGCACTCTGGCAGACCAGGACCCTCTTGCCCAGCGCCTGAGTGCTCATTGGTAGAGCCTGCCAGCACCCAGGGCTAGGCTGAGGGATGGTGGGAAGGCAGCGATTTAGGTTCCCTGAGGGATACCTTTTAGGATTGGGGATGGGGTTAGGAGAGCCAGCTGTTTGGTCCTCAGGGGTGGAGAGAGCCTGAATGGCAGTTTTAAGGCCCTAATTTAGAATTCTACGCTGAGCAAAATTTGCATGCATCCAGATCCCGTGCCAGATTTAAATTATGAAATTAAAGGAGTCAGCCACTCTCCGTGGCTATAGCAGCCAGGGACAAGGGCCTGGCGTGGCAGCGGTTCAGGAAGGGGGAGGGGGGGACCACACTCTGCTCAATATCCAACACGTTGGGGACTCTCAGGAGGCATTGCCCCCAGCAGCATGCATTTGAAGGATGCAGCTGTATTTTGGCCCTGTTTCTGTATTGCTTGCACAGCGCGTAGTTAGCTTTCTGCACTAGAATTACATAAAAAATGGGAAAGATCAGGATAACCATCTCCTGGGGCCTGATCCTCAGGAAGAGAAGCTTTAAGTAATTTGCACGCACAGCATGCCCGGGGTCAGTGTTCCTGCAGTGACACGGTCCCAACGGGGACTCGCGCTCCCTGTACAGGTATCCAGCAGCGTGGCGGAGCACCTGGCCCACTCCCTTCAGGACTGCTCCAACATCCAAGAGATCTTCCAGACGCTCTACTCACACGGATCTGCCATCTCCGAAAGCAAAATCAGAGAGTTTGAGGTGGAAACCGAGCGGTTGAACAGGTAAAGGGAAACGTGTATACTGCCCTCCTTCCCCTTTCCAAAGATGGACTGAAGTGGGCTTGTGTATTGTGGCGCTGCGATGCTGCCAGGCTAGTGGGTAGAATGCCTCTCAGGCGGGAGGCCTGAGACTCGAATGTGTGGAGCCTCGTACTCGGAAGGACGCCACACTTGCTTTTCTGCTCTGCTCTCACTGTTTTAAATTCTTTATATCACGAGAGGCCCAGTGCACAGGTGGGGTGAGGTCCAATGATTGGGGCTGGGCCTGTTGGGAGGAGGAGGAGATGGTGGCAGGTTGGCTGGCTACCCGCCCTGTCAAAACCAGGCCAGCCAGAGGGAGGGACTGTAGTGGACTGGCCGGCCCCGCCCCCGAATGGGGTAGAGAGGCCGATCAGGGGTCAGCGCCCAGGGAAGGGGCCATGGGAGGTTGGCGGTGGGCCAGCCCCACCCCCAAATGGTGTTATTTACGGCATTCTGGTTGCTGGCTTTTTACATATTTTTTTTAATTGATTTCAGAGGGGAAGAGGGAGAGGGAGAGGGAGAGAGAGAAAGAGAGAAACATCAATGATGAGACCAAATCATTTATTGGCTGCCTCCTGCAGGTCCCACACTGGAGGTCAAGCTCACAACTTGGGCATGTGCCCTGATCAGGAATCAAACCATGACCTCCTGGGTCATAGGTCAATGCTCAACCACTGAGCCATGCCTGCTGGACTGTCTTAAATTCTTAATTTATGAATGAGGGGCCGGCCTTTTCATTTGGCACTGTCCGTTGGAAATTATGTTGTAATTCCCGGAGCAGTTCATTCAGGATGACAAATAGGTCAGAATGACAACATGGCCACCAAGCATGCAGGCCTGTGCTTCCGAGAACCACTAAAACAGTTCTGGAATGTTGAGTCAGCATCCCAGAGACACCGGGAGGCACCAGGAGCCAGCCACGGCAATCGGATAGAAGCACTCCTGCGGCTCTCAGGGCGAGCTGGTCTGAGCCTCCCTGTTCTGAGGGTTGCCTAATTTTATTTATGGTTTTTGCTAATGTGCACAATCCTCGGTATGTATATTCTATCTTACTTAGAACAGTTTGTCATGTACCCAGTTTTATGGATTTCTCCCAAGTCTCACACACAACAGAGGTAGGTTGAGTTTGCTCTCCTGCCTCTGGGCAAAAAGACTGGCTCCTGTGTCCTTCCAGCAATGAGCAAGAGCTTCTAAAAAAAAATAAAAATAAAAAAAAAGGCAAAGGACCAGAGCCAGGCCATGGTAACCGCACTGACTCAGAGTCAGCCCCGTGGTGGCAGAAAGGACTGCCGAGTCTCACCGGCGGTGTGTGATGTGGCTGCCTCGGCCTCCCAGTCTTCAGGGGGAGGGCACAGTGAGAACTGGAAAGGCTTATGAACTAACCGGGAAGAAATGCGCCGGCCCTTCCCATCCACCGTTGCTTAATAGCATTCCCCTTGCGTGTGGCAAACCTGAATAAATTGAATTACCGTGTTAGTCCTCCCTGACTTGAAGCTGTTTAATATAGAGCTTGGGAACGAAGGAAATGTGGCAAATCTAGGTCATTTTAAATCTTGAAATTAAATGGTTTCCGTATTAAGTCCAAAATACTTACGGGTGGCAGTCCTGGTGATTACCTTGTACCAGGGAAGAAGCCGCCCTGTGCGTACCCCAGGCCCCGGGGGTGCTTAAAAATGGAAGCAGATGTGCCCTTTGCAATTTAATGGAGTCAGCGGCCTCGGGGGCCCTGGTTTTAGAGAGGATCTCCTCTCTGCAGATTCTGGGATTTAACAAGCCTGCTTTGCAGTTGAGCTGGAGGGAGGCTCCGTTCTCTTCAGTGAGGTGCACCTAGAAGAGACCAAAGGAGGAGGAAATACTTGGTGCCCGTAGCTCACATCATTGTGGTGTTAACGGTTTACAAAGGGCGCTCACAGACAACCACTTCATCACCGCCGTGGGAGGGTGGAATAGCCCCAAGTTGCAAATGAGGAAACACAGGCTTCCAGGATGAGTGACTCGTCCCCGGTCCCAGAGCTAAGAATTAGCCTGGTCTGAAACCAAGCCCTGCCCTTTGACGTTGCCTCCATTGTCCTCTCTGCAGCCGTAGCTGCAGCTCTAACATGGGAGTTTTTAAAAATAACCCAGCAGCATGCCCTCACGCCTGTTATTTAGCTACGTGTGGCAACGTTGGAGGCCCGTTTCACTCCCAAAAATGACGGCCTTTACCTTTGTGTGTTGGCAGCGAGAGTCATACTCCTCAAAAGTGCTTCCTCATTAAAACCACTATGTGCAAAGCTACTTGGCATGCAAAAGAAAGTAAAACGGACATGGTCCCTGCTAGGGACCTAGACAAAAAGCAAAGGGATAAGATCATAAGAAGCTCCAAGTCTGAACTGATTTTTGATAGGTGGCCGGGGAAGGCATCTTGGAAGAGGCAATGTTTAAGTTGAGATTCTAAGTGGAAAAGGGGGCACCCAGGTGGCAAAGTAAGAAGTCTCTCATGGGCCAGCTCAATCAGCCGCGAGGTTGGCATGATTAGGACATGTCCAGAGGCCAGTGGAGCTAAAATAGAGTGAGTGAGAGGAGTTACGTGAGAGGAGGAGGCAGACTAGGCAGGACAGGGTAGGATATGGATTTTGAGGCCAAGGACAAAGTTTACTCCTTATCCAAAGAGTCAGTGAATGCCCGTTTGAGGGTGTCAAGTAGCGGGGAGAACAGATCTGATCTGATCTAAATTTTGAAGGATTGCTCAGGTGTGAGGGATGGAAAGGGTGGGACTGGAGCAGAAGCAGAGAGAGTCTGCAGTGGGCCCGTGTGGCCGAAACCGAGAAGGGGTGGGGTAGTATTTGTTTACCGGTAGAATCAAGGGGAAGGGTGTTTGGTTTAGATCTGGATCTGAGAGAAAGGGATGGTCTCAGAGATCCTCAGGTAGCTCACCTGTGTAGTTGGGTAGACGATGGAGGCATTGACTGAGCTGAGGGAGGACACGGTTTGGGGAAAATCAAGAGGTCCCTGTGATAACCACAGAAAAAAACGTCAACAAGAGAGAGTGTAGGCGCCGTGGGGATACAGATGCCTGTGAGAGCCATAGGATGGGACAAACAGCACCCCCAGGGGGGCAGTGTTGACAGTGGAGGGGGGTCGGGGACTGAGTCCTGAGGAAATGCCAACACTCACAGCTTTTCTAGACAACAGGAGCCAGCAAAGGAGACAGAAGAAACAGCCTTTAAGGCAGGAGGGAACCCAGCAGAGACCTGTCATGGCCCATGCGAAGGAGAACATTGTAAGAGGAAGGAGTGGCCCACTCCAGGTGTTCCGGGGGAAGGCCCGGAGGTCCGGGAGCTGGGAAACAGTTTCCTCCGATTCGTGGGGACCAAATGTGTGCAGCAGCAAGCTGACGGGTAATGAGAAAATAGGGATGTGTCAGGAGGTCTCAGTGTGAGCAAGGACAGACAAGGATGTTCTTGCAACACCTTACATCGCACTAACCTGGAGCCGCCTCGGCCTCACGCTGTCTCAGTGCTCACCAGGCATCTCCCATGTGGGTGAGTGTCTCTGTGTTCTGTGCTCAGATATGTGGTTGTAAGATGGATTCTCAAGCCCCTTCACATGTCAAGAGTCGCTGACATGTTGTGAGTGACACCCTCTGTCTTTGTGGGACGTGGCGGTCAGAGCACTACAAAAGGGTGTGTCCCGGGGGAAAGAGGGCCGGTGTCTGTCCTGGGACGGAACACGGAGGAGCTGGAGGCCTATGCTTTTCTGATTTCGTCATAAGCTCATCTGCGCTGAGTGTGTCGTTCTAGTTTCTGTAAAGCCCAGTGTCCCCGCTGCTTGTCCTGCTGGGAGTCAGCAGCTGCAGGATGTCGACCGGGAAGGAGCCGCGGACACGCTCCGCAGTTCCCGGTCCTCTTCCCGGCGAGGCCTGCGGGCGGTCTCTCTCTCACTAACTCACCTTCTGCTTCTGCTCTGTAGCTAGCGATTAAGAGCACAGGATCTGGGGTCAAACTCCAGAACAAAGTACTTAACTTTTCTGTGCCTCCATGTCCTCCGCTGAGAAGTGGGGATAATAACACTTAATGCAAAAGGCAATGGAGAGGGTTGCTGAGCAGGGGCTCAGTGTGTGGCCGCTGTAACTGCGATGCTGTTTTCGTCTGTCCTCGTGGAAAGTGGTTTATAGACTAGCCATGCCCTCCAAGGGCCTGAGGCCACGCCGTCAGCTCCTTTCCCGGTACATGGTGGAAGGCTGGGTGGGAAATACCTGGGTGCTTATTCTCATTTCTAACTCACCCAGTGGCCCTTCCACCTACAGTCACTTCCTCCATTCGCTTCCTGTCAGTTGCATTTGCTAAAACATCTGATGGGCTTACCTCCTAACCTGTATTTCCAGCCTGAAGCCAGATTAGACGCCTGAAATGTTGGCAAATTCATTGTGGTCCTCGTGTGAAATTGTGAAAGAGGTTTTCCTTCCTTTGCAGCCGCATCGAACACCTCAAATCGCAGAATGACCTCCTGACCATAACCCTGGAAGAATGCAAAAGCAACGCGGAGAGGATGAGCATGCTGGTGGGCAAATACGAGTCCAACGCCACGGCCCTGCGGCTGGCCCTGCAGTACAGGTGGGACTGGAGGGCCGGGCCGCTGTCACAGGCATAGGGACCTTCTGCATGAAGAGGAAAGCGGGCTGCATTTCCGAGGTCACCTGGGGGGTTGCACCAGCAAGTACTCATGCGATACACATTGAAAATCCATGAGCACCCTATTGCCATTCAGGAAGCAAGAGTCATGGGTGTGGTGTGAGTAAGGAAGTATGTGTCTGCCAGCACATTCAACTTAGCTGTTATTTCTCTCAAGTCACCTCAATCAAAATATCAGTCTTTGCGTTACATATTCATTTGTTGTTCTTCTCGATATTTATTCATGGTCCTGCATATTTTACGTTGTTGTAAATCTAGTGCATTCCATTTCTCCAACGTGTCAGCCACGGTTGTGTAATGTTGCTTAGGAGCCTCCGTGTACGTGGGCCATATCCCTGCATCAGGTTTATGGACTGTTGTGTGTGTGTGTGTGTTTCTCTGAAAGATTTGCGCAGACTTTGACGTTGAAAATAATACTATGGTGAACAATTTCACGCAGATAACATCTTCATCCTTTTTAACCTTTTCCTGGGGATAAAGTACCTGAAGCAGGAATGGTAGGTCAAAGGACAAGAATATTTTCATGGCTCCTCAGGAGAGCTGCCCGTTTTCCAGTCTGAATAAACTCTGACACAGTCATTGATGAGCAAGTAGCGTAGGAACGTACCACCTCTTTTAAGCCTCATCGGCTTTGGAATTGATCTACTTTTAAAGGACTGCTTTTAGTAACTCCCAAGGAATGCCTATGATTGTCTTCACAGGTTATTTTATTAGTGTCACCACCTAAGCATATTTGCCAGGTACCCAGCGTAGCGATTGTATCTTACTCTTGGCATCCTCTAAAAAGTTTAATATTGTTTTAAGAAAGGTTGTTTCTTCAGGAAACAAAATCAAACAAAGATATACAGGAGAGCAGGCGCAGTCGCTCACAGGCACACCAGAGCACACAGGTAGCCCCGTGGCAAAGGCCGAACCAGGCCTCTCCGCCCCACAGGCTGCCTTCCACCACCCCCTCCACCCCCCCACCCCCACTCCCGTTCTCTACCCAGGAAGGAGGGGTGCCAGCACACAGGGCTCCTGACAGGGCCCTTTTCCTATCGCTCAGCGAAGGAAGACAAAAGGCGGGGACATCAGAAAACAGAGGGTCTGTTGAGTTAAGCAGTATTCCCCCTACTCAGCGTGGAGACGCTCATCAGTTATCTGCTTAGGGGTGGACTTCCGCGGGCATCTTGTCCCAGACCACTCGGCGCTGCCCACGTGCTCCACGGCCTGTGGCTGTGGCTCCCTGGGGGGTTACCAGGGGGTCACCAGGGGCAACGAGAAGGGGTCACTTTTCGATCCTCTACCTGGTGTGCCCATGATAATGGGCAGAGACTAATGTTTTTTTTCTTTTAGAAATCCAAACTCATACTCTTGTCAGAGAATTTATATTTCATAAGACGATTTTACAAGTATCTATAGAACTGGGAGGCACATGTGACTGTGCAACGTGAAATATGGCTACTGTCACCCAGGAGCTGGGTTCTTCATGTCACCTGGCTTACTTTTTGTTTCGTGTTTCTCTTCCATAGCCACATGTGGCTGGTGACTACTGTACGGAATAGTGCACATCAAGGTCAAAATGGTCTTCTTTCTGGGGCATAACCTTAGCTGTCTATTATTCTATAACTGTTACTGTGTCACCGCTTTTAGGGTCAGGAATCTGGGAGTGACTTAGCTAGGTGGCTCTGACTCAGGGTCTTTTCCGTGGTCCTGGGGGCCGTCCACCCGGTGCCCCGTGTTACCGGACCAAACGGGGTGTGGACACCCCCCTACGGGTTAGGTCACCTTTCCCTCTCGGTGGATCACCCCAAAGGCAGCCACCTGGCCTCTCCCCCAGGCATTGTTTCTTGTCTCTTTCTGGATCCTGGTTTACAGTTAAAGGCAGGGCACAGCGTAGCAGGGCACGCCTGGGCTCCGTCCAGGGTGTTCCCTCGCGGACAGGACGCGGGGCGAGAGCAGGGCTGGAGCTGGGAGGTGGGGGAGGGAAGTTGGGGGGAGTGGGGGGACGGACATCCGCAGCCCAAGCTGAGATGCCCGTGCTCTGTTTCAGCGAGCAGTGCATCGAAGCCTACGAACTCCTCCTGGCGCTGGCCGAGACCGAGCAGAGCCTCATCCTGGGGCAGTTCCGTGCGGCAGGCGTGGGCTCCTCCCCTGGTGAGTGTGGCCCGCCCCCACCTCTCTCCCTCACCCCCTCCCCCACCTCTTCTGCCCCACTGCCCCTCTCTCAGCTGCTGGCATTGGAGCAGCCCTTACCCCACCCCCTGACACACACACACACACACACACACACACACACACACACGCATGCACATGCACACACATTTGAAATTTACTTGTCAAGTGTGTTTTTCGTATTTTTTCCTCGTGACTGAGTGAGTTGTTTAGTTGGATGCAGCAGGAACTGGAGTGGAAACAATTGCAGAGAGTTAAAACAAACAAGCCCTCCCAGGAAATATTCCCGGGCTGACAGGAGGCCCAGCCGGAGCGGAGGCCCAGGTTCATGATGAAAGGGGCCGGCATCTCCACAGCCTCCTGGTGGTGCTGAGGCTGAGGGCCCTCGGCTGCCCACGCCGCCTCTGCCCACCGCGGCCTCTGTGGCTGTGCCCTTTCTCCCGGTCTGTTCCATGGGGAGTGGAGTCTGAAGCATGAGTTCCCGCCACCTGTCCCCAGGTGTCTCCGGAGCACAGAAGATGGTTCCCCATCCTGTGCTGTCACTCTCAGAACGCTAATGCCCGGGCCTGCCCGGGAGGGGGGGGGGGAGGGGGGAGGGAGGGGGAGGGGGGAGGGGAGCACAGGTGTATGCCCGCCTCCCTCCCGCCCCAGGACCCTGTGTCCCCTCAGCCTCTTTGCCCCTCCAGGCCTGCACTGCCCCACTCCTGTCCTCCATGTGAGTCACTAGTAGAAAAAGACACAGCGAGGCATCCTAACGAGCAGCATTGGCTGAAACCATTGTCTGCAGTAGAACTGGTGCGTGGGCAGCAGAAGAGGTCGGGAAAGAGGGTCCCCCCGCAGCACCGAGGCTGGAGCCCACACTCTGTGATGGCAGCAGCTTCAGAGCAGTAACAGCAGTGGGCAGAAAGCTGCCGTGGCCGGGTCGCCGGCGACGGGCAGCGTGGGCAGGCCGAGCCTCCTCTCTGGGAGCCCCATCGGGGCTTGTCCTTCCGGGACCAGCCTTGCAAAGGTCGCCCCGCCCCTCTGGAATGAGTGTCCCCGCCCGCCAGGTCCCTCCCCGGGTCTGGGGTGCAGCTTTTGCAGGGAACACCCACATGGTTTCCCTCCTTCGTGGGCAGGAACCTGAGCGGGCTGAAGGAAGGGAAGCACCAGGGTGTTCATTTCCTGCTTCCCGTTACGCAGCGGGGCAGCAGCCCTCTGTCTGCACGGGCGCCGTCCTCCACTCCTCTCTCTGCTGTTTCTTTTTTTAAAATAGTATTACCATCTCAGCCCAGCAGTAGAAACTCTGCCAGCATTTCCATTAGAAACCTCATTTTTCAGGGTCTTTTAACTGAACCATAAAACGTTATTCCTCATATTAAACAGATCCTAAAATGATCTTGGCCTGCTGTCAAGGTTGTTTTTTTTTTTAATATATGTATTAAGAAAACCGATCAATAAAAGGGGGGGGAATCAATCATCTTGTTTCCCGTTTGTGTCAGAGGGATGTTTTAAACCGATTTGTCCTTGACCGATACCTCTCATTGGGCTTACATCCGCGCTTCCGCGTGACTTGGTGGGAGCTGGGAAACACGTTATTTTGGGGAGAAGAGAGGCACAAAGGTGGTCAGAAATGGCCCGAAGGGCCCCGGGCACCTTACCCTGCGGATGTGCGTGCCCACGTCTGCTCCCCACTCTCCACGGGGCGGAGTCCACTTCCTTTCTAGCAGTCAGTCCCCTCCCGTCTCTGTCCCTGCTGCCGGCAGCGGCGGGGACCTGTCGTCCTGCCCTGCTGCTCGGCAAAGAGGAAGAGCGAGTGGCATTTCCCCAAAGTGTTGTCCGTTATGAGGAGGGGGGAGTGTTCTTGCCGATGGCACAGGCACTCAGTACGTTCATTCTACATGATTGAGACGAGTGGGTTTCAAACCGTCTCGAGGAGGAGGAGTTTCCTTGGGCCTCGGCAGGGGGCTGAGCGGGTGGGGCAGCTGAATGCGTGCCCCCCAGCCTGCCCACCTCAGCCAGATCCACACTTACTATTTTTATATCTTAAGCTTTGGCATAAGGTTTTGATTGAAAATATTTAGAAGACCATGGATCCAGGTGGTAGAGACAGCAAACTGGTAACTTGTTTGCAGTACATTTGCTTGTTTGTTTGTTTGTTTGTTTGTTTTTGTGGTGGTTGTTAGTCCTCATCCAAGAATATTTTTTCCATTGATTTTTTTTAATATATTTTATTGATTTTGTACAGAGAGGAAGGGAGAGAGATAGAGAGCTAGAAACTTCAATGAGAGAGAGTCATAGATCAGCTGCCTCCTGCACACCCCCTACTGGGGATGTGCCTGCAACCAAGGTACATGCCCTTGACCGGAGCGAACCCAGGTCCCCTCAGTCCCCAAGCCGACGCTCTATCCATTGAGCCAAACCGGTCTCAGCTCCATTGATTTTTTAGAGAGTGAAAGGCAGGAGGGGAGAGGGGGGGAAGATAGAGAAAGAGAGAGATTGATATGACAGACACACATCTATTGACTGCCTCCTGCATATGCCCCAACCAGGCCTGAGGATCGAACCTGCAACCCAAGTATGTGCCCTTGTCTGGGAATCAAATCCAAGACCCTTCAGTGAGTTGGCTGGTGTTATAACCACTGACCCACACTGGCCAGGGCAGGACAGGTTTTGTGGTGGTTGTTTTTAAATGTTTTTTTTTATTGATTTCAGAGAGGGGAGGGGAGGGGAGAAGGAAAAGGGGACAGAAACAACAATGATGGGAGAAAACCATTGATCAGCTGCTTCCTACAAGCTCCTATTGGGGATTGAGCCTGAAACCCAGGCATGTGTCCTGACCAGGAATTGAACTGTGACTTTCATGATTCATGGGTCAGTGCTCAACCACTAAGCCATACCAGCCATGTCTTTCCATTGAATTTTAGAAAGAGTGGAAGGGGAACATCAATGTAAGAGAGACACATCGATTGGTTACCTCCCACATGCACCCTGACCAGGGCCGGGGATTGAATTGAGCATGCAACCACGGTGCATGCCCTTGACTGGAGTCGAACCCAGGACACCTGTGTCTGTGAGCTGAATGTAGTCCCCAAACCGGCTAGGGCAACAGTACAGTGTTTTCCTGGGCAGAGCATTTCCTGACTCCGTGCTGGTGGCCTCTACTCCTGACCTCTTGCTCCCGCCCAGTTACCTGGCTCTCGAGTGGCAGAGCCGGTCCGGGCAACCTCCCCACCCCGCCGCCTCGGCCCTGAGGAGTGAGGGCGGCCCCCAGACGTGTCCCCAGCTTGTCGTGCCCAGGCCTGAGCTGACCAATCTGTGGGCTTCTCTCAGGAGACCAGTCGGGGGACGAGAACATCACTCAGATGCTGAAGCGAGCCCACGACTGCAGGAAGACGGCGGAGAACGCGGCCAAGGCCCTGCTCATGAAGCTGGACGGCAGCTGCGGGGGCGCCTTCGCCGTGGCCGGCTGCAGCGTGCAGCCCTGGGAGAGCCTGTCCTCCAACAGCCACACCAGGTACCTCCGGGCTCCGGGGAGGGCCGTGTCCCTGTGTCATCTGCTCACTGAGCATGGCACACAGTGGCCAGGCTTGGGGGGGGGGGGGCAGGGCGGGGGAGAGAGTGGGGGAGGGCAGATTGTCTCGCGCATGCAGCCTGCTCCCTCCAAGGGGCAGTCAGAGTGGGAGGTCGGAAAGGGCCTTCTCGCTGTGGGAAGTGCAGGCCAGAGAGAAGGGGTGTTTTGTTCAAAAAGGTGGCAGGGCCGGCACCCGCACCGGCCTTCCTGTCAGGGCTCTTTCTCCTGTTTCCTCTTGCTTTTCTCTTTTCCATTTTCTTTATAGTGATGATTTCCCAGGAGCATTTGGGACAGCTATTTGTTGCAAATAAGCCCTAATCACCCGAGGCCTGGACCTCTGCAGGGTGTCCAGGCCCCGCCCCCTCCCTTCCTCCGGAGTCTCTGTCCTCTGTGAGCTCCTCTCAGGGAAGAGCCGCCTCCCGGCTCCCCTCTTCTCTCGGGGTGACGCCTTCGCCATAGCACGTGCTTAATGGATGCTTGATCGGGAGCCTGAGTGCAGGGCTGTGCATCTAGAAAACTCAAGTGAGGACTTGAAAAAGATGAGGCAGACAGCAGGGAGACCTGCCACGCATAACCTGCCGGGGCTTCTGGGCTCTTCTGGATGAGGGGTGGGGCATCCATGGAACTTTGGAATGAAACCTTTGCCACCGAAGCCCTAAAAACATGAATGCCTTCCCTCTCCTTGCCATTTCTCAGTCTAGGAAGTACTTGGTTAGGAATTCTTTTTTTTTCTTTCATATATTTTATTGATTTTTTTACAGCGAGGAAGGGAGAGGGACAGAGAGCCAGAAACATCGATGAGAGAGAAACATTGATCAGCTGCCCCCTGCACACCTCCCACTGGGGATGAGCCCGCAACCAAGGCACATGCCCCCGACCAGAATCGAACCTGGGACCCTTCAGTCCGCAGGCCGACGCTCTATCCACTGAGCCAAACCAGTTAGGGTTTGTTAGGAATTCTTACGTGATAACTAAACCTGGAAAGACAAGAGGGGTATCGTACCCCCATTTTCACAGGTGGAAAAACCTGGGCTTAGAGACGTGGAAGCGACTTTCCCAGACAAGGTCACAGGGCTGGTAGCCAAGAAGGAAATCGGTGCTCAAAACAGGACTTCAGCAGCAAGCGTGTGTTGTTCCCACTCTACCGGGTTGGACCTCAAAACATTAAAACACAGTGTTGTCCTGCCGATGAGGCTCTGTGGTTTGAGCGTCGACTTATGAACCAGGAAGTCACAGTTCAATTCCTGATCAGAGCACATGCCCGGGTTGTGGGCTCAATCCCCGGGGGAGGAGGGGGGAGGTGCAGGAGGCAGCAAATCAATGATTTTCTCTCATCACTGGTGTTTCCGACGCTCTCCCTTCCCCTTCCTCTCTGAAATCAATAAGAGTATTTTTTAAAAAACACACGCACAGAAACCCAGTGTGTACTTGCAGATCAAGTGACTAGAACCACCTAAGGACAGATTGACTCTCAAGAGCCGAAGGAGAAATACTGATGTTTCCGAGGCGCCCGAGAGTAACTCGCTGTTTCCGACTCTTTCCCACGGCAGGACAGTCACCTACCCCGGGCATCCATTCACCTGTCCCGGCCCCGGGGCCCCGGGAAAGGGCACATCCCCAGCGAGGCACTTGGCCAGGTGCCCTCCAGCACAGGAGACTCGTTTTCTCTCAACGCCACCAACCATTGTCTATTCAGGGAAGCTCAGATTATAATTTATTTCTTTCTAAAAACCAGATTCTTCTGTCTGAACGCAGAAAGCAGATGATCTTCTTAATGGCTTTTCCAGATGTGTGCAATCCATAATTCCCGTGTTCATTTAGAAGAGAATGCATTAGTTCTCATCTTGTCAGTGATCTTGCTGTTGAATTAGTGAGCCTAAGAACTGGGTTGACAGGAAATGCGCGCTGTCCCAGCAGCTCAGGTTTTTGCTCACACCTCCCAACCCCCCAAAAAATAATTTCGTCGTTTTAATCCAAATCAGAGACAAATTTGGAGTCAGGAATGGGAACTCTCACCATTCATTTAGTGGAAATCCTGGTTCTGAAAATCTGTTAGAAATACTGGGACATGGATGAGCCTTGATTGTGAGGCAGTTTTCACACAGTCACTTGCTTTTAGATCACACGTCTCAGCAGGTCAAGATCAATTCAGCACACAGCCCCCGTTTCTGAGGGTGAGCTCCCCGAAGAATGGCCCTCCAACTAGTTTCCGTCACCAGTGGGTCTTCCCAGCTAAGGTCGTAGGACTTCAGCTCCGATCTCGCTCTGCTCTCCCTAAAGGTTCGCCTTCCCACACTCACCCAAGTCAGAGCAGCTCAGAGGGACACAGGAGAACCGCACACACGGCTGTCATATGCACCCCACATTCTCAGTTCATCACACAACTGGACTACCTTTATGCTAAACATGGGCTCAATCACCGCCAAGCCCTTCTGTCTGATCATTCATTTTGTTTGTAAATCTGGCAATTCTGGTTCAGACATCCTCCTGTGTCCAGTTTATGGAAGGAAGGAAGAAAAGGGGCTTTCTGGGTTGGGGCTTCATGTGGCGTTCCCACTCCCCACTGTAACCACTGGCGTAGATAATTCCAATCAGAGTTCCCGTCAGCTGCTCCTCAGAGGGGGTCTCAGGAAAGGAATGCTGAGTACTGGGCCTGCCTGGCAGCACATGACAGCTCCTGATGGCAAGAGGGTCATGGTTTTGGAAAGCAGCAGAAGAGTAATGACCAGCAAGGAGAGTAAAAAGTGGTAACTCCCGACCAGCGTGGCTCAGTGGTTGAGCATTGACATATAAACCAGGAGGTCAGGGTTCGATTTGGGGCACAGGTTTGCGGGCTCAATCCCCAGGAGGGGGTGTGCAGGAGGCAACTGATTGATGATTCTCTCTCATCATTGATGCTTCTCTCTCTCCCTCCCTGAAATCAATAAAAATATATATTTTTTAAAGTGGCAGCTAGCCCATCCATTGACTGTTGGCAGGAACCCAGGGACGCTGCTGTTTCACTCTGGAAAAGAGCCCTGGCCTCATCCCAAAGTGTCATCGTCTTAATGGACAGTAACGAGGTTCTGTTGGTAGCCTGGAGCACTTTGTCAACATTATCACAGCAGAAAGGCAGAGGGATTCAACTGCTGGGAATGGGAAAAGCCCACCCTTTCTGTCAAGCATCACAATTTCAGTTCCTTTGGTAGAAGCACAGTCATCTATCTCAGTCTGTAAAAGACCATGTGCCTAAGACAGAATAAGCCTCAGCAGGTCTCTTGCGGAGACAAGAATTGAGTCCCTTTTGTCCCCCTGTCAGGTGGGGGACCATGTGAGCCGTGTGAGAATGGGGACCGCAGCCTTGTTTTGAGCCCTGGACACTGCGGGAGCCAGGGTGCCGCCTGGCTGACCACACGGGGCATGCCCCGAAACTGAAATGGAGGGCAGCGGAGCTCAGGGTGCCAGCCCCCGCCCTCTAAGCTCGCCTGGATTAAGATGAAGGCTCCTTGGGGACAGGAATCATGCCCACTGAAAGGGTGAATGGGACTGAAGCAACTACCCGGTTAGGACAGGCCCCTGCCACCATCAGCAGCAAACTTCAGGGAATAAGAGCCGGACCAGACCTGGCTGCCGTCATCGTCGCCCTTACGTGTTTCTGAGAAACATCCAAGTCTCGGAAGAGTTCACTGGAAGCCTTGGGGTCATGCTCGGAAGTGTTTGGAAATCCCCGAGTCCCGCTCAGACCCATTCCCCACCATGCTCCTGCTCAGACACCTGCTCACTTATCTGTTACTAGGTCCTAGGAAAACGAGGTACACACCTGAAATGCTTTTTTTTTTTTCTTTAAGACCTAACTTCCTGATTTCAAAATAATTAAATGCTCATTGTAAAAATAACACCAGGGATTACAGCCCTAGGCAGTTCGGCTCAGTGTATAGAGCGTTGGCCTGAGGACTCAAGGGTCACGGGTCCAATTCTGATCAAGGGCACATGCTTGGGTTGCGAACACAGTTCAGATGGTGCTTAGTGCTTTTAGTCCTTTGTGACCAAGAATTGGAGAGGGGGGGGGAGGAGGAGATAGAGAGAGAGAGAGGACACAAAAGACACAGGCAGTTGACAAGGTCCAGCCTTCTCGGAAGACCAGAGCCACTTAGGAGTGGCTGGTGTGGCCACACGTCACTGGGCCAACCCCTTCCTCCAAATGCAGTTTGAGTGTTTAGCAAAACAGAAGGCCAGCCTCGTGGCACTTCCCTTCTGGAAACAAGCTGCTCCTCACGTGGGGCCGGTGATAAAACTTCAGGAAAAACACATCCCTGGTTTTCCAGGCCAAGGAGACGCCCTTCTAGCTTTTTGCCAAGACAAGCCGAGGAAGCCCCCAAAAAATGATTTTTCTTCTTAAAAGCAGGCCAGGGAGTTTAGTCTTGGGCACAAGGATGAGACATGGTGGAGAGGAGCAGAGAGGACCATTGAAATCTACAGTGGCTCGAACCCACCCACACCCACGTCCTGCCTGGCCCGTGCAGGCTCCCCGGCCGCAGGGCACCGGGTGCAGTGCCGGCCACAGGCTCCACAGAGCATCACGGAGAGGACGCCCCACCTGACCTGGCCCAGCTCCTCGCAAACCAAAGCAAAACACAACACTGAGCCGCTCCCCATCCTTAGGCAGCTGGGTCTTCATCTCAGCCCTTTCCTCTCGGAGATCACGGACTCTCCCCCCCCCCCCCCCCCCCCCCCCCCCCGCCCTGCAGAGTGATTTATTCCCTCTTAACTACGGAGATCACCCAGCGTTCGGGCGGAGAGTTAATGGATGGCTTAACCCCTGCCCAGCGCCGGCAGCCAGCCCTCGGAGCCGGCAGCCTTTGTCTGCAGGAGGCCTGAGGAAAGGCCAGCGGCCTCCCTCCCGCCATCGTCATAAACATGTTCCGCGGTGGAGCGTTCAGGGCACCAAGCAGGATTGTCATTAACCTCGCCTGGTCTGCTCCCGCTGGCGTCCTGGAAGGGAGAGGGGGGAGTCGGAGGGGTGCGGGGCTGGGGCACTTATCTTGAAATTCAACTTTCCCCGGGTAAAAGCCTTGTAAAGCTCCCAGCTCCTGACAGGCGAGGAGGGGGTTGGGGGCGGGGGAAGGGGTGTAGGATTTGTGCGAGAGCGCTTCTGTTCTTTTCTCCTTCCCTTCCTCTCTGACAGGAAACCCTTCGCAGAGATGGCAAAACAAAAGCCCTCCCCGCCTGGCTGAGACCCCTATTCCATGAAACACTTTTGCTTGTGTGTATCTCGTTGCTTTTTGTGGAATTGCTTTCTTAGATTTCACTCCTAGGGCCCGCACTGTTAGGCTAAGGGGTGTGAATATTTCTGTTATTCTTTACATTCATTTCCTAAAAGGTGGTACCAGTTTGCTATGCCTTTTCCCCCTGGACTGCCATCTAAATACTGTTGGGGAGACGGGTGTGGAGAAGAGCGAGGAGAAAGCATCCGGGAGCGGTGACTTGGAAATGCGATGGCTTCTCCTTGTCTGTCTTCTCAGCACAACCAGCTCCACGGCCAGCAGCTGCGACACGGAGTTCACGAAGGAGGACGAGCAGAGGCTGAAGGACTACATCCAGCAGCTCAAGAACGACAGGGCGGCGGTGAAGCTGACCATGCTGGAGCTGGAGAGCATCCACATCGACCCTCTCAGCTACGACGTCAAGCCCCGGGGAGACAGCCAGCGGCTGGACCTGGAGAATGCGGTGCTGATGCAGGAGCTGATGGCCATGAAGGTATGGGGGGCGGGGGCGGGTTCGAGAACACGGCTCTCTTTGACTCCACTGTCATCGGGAGGAGGAGAGAAAGGCCCCTGAGACAGGTCAGCTGAGGAGGCGGAGTCTCCCCAGGGAACTCCATGCCTCGATGTAGATAAGGGCAGACAGCTCCAGCGCCAGGGGCTCCCTCCCTCGGGCCGGCGTGTGCCTGGAGGGGTGAGCTGGTCTCCTGGTTCCCCAGGAGAAGCCACCTCGGACCCCTGCAGGCTGGAGCAGCCTCTGAGGCCAGCGAGCAGGGCAAGGCCGTGGGCGGAACTTGGATGGGAGCCGTTCCCTGACACCCTGTCCCTCTGGTGCCGCGTGGACGCTGCTCAGATCACAACTCCCGGAGCCAGAGCAATGGCCAGCTTTCCCGCCACGTCTCTGGAAAGGGAACTTCCTCGTCTCCGATTCTAGGCCACCCTCTGAGTCCTGGCACGTCGGGTCTCCGTCCTGGCTCTGCTCAGGTCCCGGCCCCATCCGGGCTGTGTCTTCGTTGCCCGCACAGCGGCCACCCTACCCTTCCCCGCAGGCCTTTCCTCTCCCGCTGCTGGCAACCGCCTTTCCTCCTTCCAGGCGGCCATCACGTGTGTGCGGACCTGACTGTCCGAGTTAGCTCAGTGTGCAGAGCTCCCAGGCCCTTCAGGTCCTGCTGCTTTGGGCAAAAGATCAGAAGGGCTCCGTGTGTGAGAACGCTTTGTTCTGGTCTCGTGTCTCATCTTAGGGAAGGCTTGGCATCTCCTCTTGAGTAGTCGCTGAGCACACGGCCTCCTCCGTGTCTGATGGCCCGGGTCCTGGGTGTCACACGCTGTGATGGGTGCCCTCTGGTTTCCCCCGGGGCTGGTGTGTCCAGGCAGCACACGAGGCCGGTGGCTTGTCACCTCGGGTGAGGGCGACTCCGCGGTGACTCGAGTCAGTGACCATGGCGAATCCCTGTCAAGGCAGTGACTCAGCCCTGCAAGACGCCCCTTACGTAAGGTCGCGGAGGCAGCTGGGAGCCTGGGGTCATGTGATGGTGGGCACGGGCTGGAGCTCCGTGGCCAGGAGCCTGGGTTCAGAGCAGATGGCCTGGCTTCACGCTCTGGCCCACAGTGCACCCCATGGGGTTCCTCCCTCTACGTGCCTCATTGTCCCATCGTAAATGGAGAAACTCATACTGAGGTTGGAAGGGTTAAATGACGCACTTTGAATGAGCACCTGAACGGTGTTGTGTGCCCACCAACACGGCGGATTACCATTGTGGCCGGGCTCTTGGTCCCGGCATGGCACTGTCCCCTTTTGGAGTCGCACTCATTCTCCACAAAAAAAACTCTGCGCTGGGGTCTCTAAGACACTCGGAGAAGTCACTCCTCAGTGAGTCACCTGTGAGGGACTCTGTTTCTGTTGCTTTCCTCTGGGGGCGATATCGTTGCCCGGGGCATTCCCTTCCTGTCTGACTCAGGTACTGGGCGCCAAGGTTGCCCTCAGGGGTGAGCAAATATGTGGATGGTGCCTCGGAAAAGGGCAACGCAGACCTTACCTTGTGTGGGCGACCCTCCTGTATAACCTCTCTGTCCGATGACACTTCGTCTGCCCACACTGGAAGACTGGTTCCTGCCCAGGCAGCGGAGCCCTGTGCAGGTGCAGGGACTGCAGCTTAGAGCGTTTCTCCTCAGGGTGACAGACCTGCTTGCCTGGGTCTTCTGTTCACGCATCTCAATTCGGGCCCACAGGGGGCAGCGCGGGGCTTGTCTGCAGGGCAGCCCTGCACGCACCCTGGGACAGCTGTCCGTCCCCTCCCCGCTCTTGTCCCCCAGGGAATAGCTGATAGCCGCAGACCTACTCGCTCACCTGCCTCCCCGCTCTGTGTCCTCGGCAGGAGGAGATGGCGGAGCTGAAGGCCCAGCTCTACCTGCTGGAGAAGGAGAAGAAGGCCCTGGAGCTGAAGCTGAGCACCCGGGAGGCCCAGGAGCAGGCCTACCTGGTGCACATCGAGCACCTCAAGTCCGAGGTGGAGGAGCACAAGGAGCAGCGCATGCGGTCCCTCAGCTCCACCAGCAGCGGCGGCAAGGACAAGTCCGGCAAGGTAGGCCCAGGGGGCTGGGGGCCTCACTTCCCACCCACCTCCCCCACGCACTGCCCACGCACTCTCCTTATTGGCATGGGACCTGCCAGCCATTCTAGCTGCCTCGTGAATGCTAGCTTCTCTTGCCCTCGCTTTGTTTCGGGCCCAAGACTCATGGGCACATGCTGACTGCTGGTCTAAGGAGCTAAGACTTCGGAGCGGCTACACCAAGCGCCACAGCTGCCCTCTGCCCTCCCCTCCCCCCTCGGGAGCCCGGGCGTCCATACGTGGCTCCCGCGGGGCCAGCTCTGCCGGGACCCCAGCCGCCTCAGTTATCCATTCGTTTGACAAATTGTGACTTGGTCCTGGCCAGGCGCTGGGGGCAGTTCCAGGTTTATACTCCAGGGGGGAACACTTCGGGGCAAATAGAGGATCCTAGCACAGTGACAAGATGTCCCGAGTGCCAGGATCGCTCCCACGAGGCTGCAGCCCACACGCATCATCGGGTGTGGGGGTCCGGACCAGTTTCCTGAGCTGAGACCCTGTGGAGAGTGGGATGGAGAGGGTGGGGGGAGAGCAAGTCCGCTCCAGGCCATGGAGTGCCCGGAGGCGGGGGGCTAGGGATGGACATGCTGGCTGCAGGCCCAGCCGCTGTGCTCTCCCAGGACAGTGAGGAGTCGCTGGAGGGTTTGCTTGGGGGTGATACCCCGTGGGCTTGGGGCAGGTCGCCTTGCTTGCGAGCGCACCCTGCAACCCGCTGCCCCTGCGGGCAGGGCCTGTGGGAGCTGTTTTACGGCGCAGTCCCAGAGGGGGGGCGGTTTCCTGTTCCAGGCCTCCCCCGTGACTCTCTGTGCAGCCCCGGGCTTATTAGCAGTCACCTGGGGACAGAGCCCGAGAGACAGAGCCCCAGTTGTGAGCCCTCAGGGTGTGGTGGGAACGGCTCTGGGGGTCCGGCCAGAAGCCCTCGGAGCCTTCTCCCTCCTCCCCGGTATTTTGACTCAGGGAAGCACTGTTTTGTGGAATGGCTTCAAAGCACAGAAGTCTCTTTGATGGAAAAGGCCAGATGATGATTTTTTTTTTTTTTAAACATTAGAGTAAGGAGCCTTAGAAAAGTATCTTGGGTTGTTCAGGTAATGAAATTAGAGTAAGCTGATTCTCTCGTCCTCCAAATATTGGAACCATTTACGGTTTCAATAAAACCTCCCTTCTAGGCTATTCATTTTCCTTGTTTTTGGTGGATGAAGCGGACTGTCCAGAGCCAGGGTTGAAGAACTGTAAGGAGTCAGAGCCAATCTGTTAGGGCCGTGGTCGGCAAACCACAGTTCGCGAGCCACATGCGGCTCTTTGGCCCCTTGAGTCTGGCTCTTCCACAAAATACCACGGCCTGGGCGAGTCTATTTTGAAGAAGTGGTGTTAGAGGAAGTTTAAGTTTAAAAAATTTGTCTCTCAAAAGAAATTTCAATTGTTGTACTGTTGATATTTGGCTCTGTTGACTAATGAGTTTGTCGACCCCCTGTTAATAGGGTGTTTGAGCCCTACAGACTCAGCTGCACCTCCTAACGCAGCCACTGAAGAAATGTGAATTTCGTACAAATTCTACACATCACAAAATGCTTTCTAAGTCTTTTTGCATGATTTTAAAAACAAAACAATTCTTAGCCTGCGGGCCTTATAAAAACAGGTGGCAAGACCGATTTGGGTCCAGGACATGCACTCTCGCTCCGTAGGACAGGGTCCCTGTTTTAAGACTCCCCTCCGACAACAAGCTGGAACCAAGTCTCACCCACGTTGCATCAGGTCTTTACACTTCCTGTCTCTCTGCAGCAGATGCCCCGCGCATGTTCAAGGAGAGGCCTGGGGCGAGACAAAGCTGCCCCGGTCTTTAGGAGGCTTAGGAGATGTTCACATCATCGAGAGCTGATATACAAAAGGGGAGGCTCCTGGGATCTCCCAGCGTCCATGGCTGGTGGGGTGGGGATGGGGGAATGGGGGGCTGGGTCTGAGGACAGTGAGAGGGAGCGGAGAGAGGGAGAGCCGTGCAGGGGGAGGGCCAGGCAGAGGGAGGGGACCCCCTGGATGTGGTGGCATTTCTGTATCCGAGGGCTGAGGGAGACACAGAGCCCTCCTGTCGTCTGGATTTCCAGCACCAAATTCGCATCCCACCGCCATGTCTCTGCTTACACTGGGCAAAGGAGCAGCTGCAGCGCTCAGTGTTTTCCTCTCCAGCCTGGGCTGTGAGGTGCTCAGTAACGGTCTGCTGAGCCAACCCACAGAGCGCCCTCCCCAGGCCTCTGTCATAGCCCGCGGGCGGGTGTGACGCTGCTGGAGGAGCAGTGTGACTCCGCATTGGATGTGGGAGTCCATTTGGCTTGGAGATGCCTGGGACCCGGTCTAATGCTGGGTTTCCGAGGTGATGGCACTGCCCTCGCTGAAGCCCCTCACGGTGGAGAAGACAGGAGAAGAGAGGCTGGGGGAGGATTCTCACCTGCTGCCCCCCACTTGTCTCCCTGAGTAGGAGAGGCTGGCTCAGTGGTGAAGAGCCCTGATCGGCTGCCCCAGCCTGGGTTTGGATCCTCAGTCCTCCCTGTCATGGCTGGAGACTAGGGGCAGTGTGACCTTGGCCTTCGTTCCCACGGGGATCATATCAGCACCTACCTCAGGGTCATTGGTGACTCAGGGAGAGATGTGTGTGGCCACTTAGACCAGCGCCTGGCTCCCAGGGAGCCCACGGGGAGGGGTCGGAGGTCGGAGGTCACGGCCACCGAGGGCAGAATTGTCACCCCCCATTGGCTCCGGGACTGACAGGCATGTGCTTGTTGTTCCCAGGAGTGTGCTGACGCTGCCTCCCCGGCTCTCTCCCTCGCCGAGCTCAGGACCACGTACAGCGACAGCGAGCTGGCCGCAGAGTTCACCAGCGCCATCCGCCGGTAAGCACCTCGCCCGGGACCCCTGCAAGCCGCTGGTCCTGGGAGCGGAGCCCTGTTCTCTCTCTTGCTGCTCGGGCCACATCCGGGCTCAGGAAGGCAGAGCTTCCGCTCTGTCTCTGTGGGGTTTGGCTCACAAGCTGAGTTTTATTTCGGGGACGAAGCCTGCCGTCTCTGCAGCGAGGGGCCTCCCTCTGTCCGTCCCTGCGGGCGAGACAGAGAGCCACGTGGGCACCCGGCCTCGCACAGGGGGAGTGGCGGGCGAGCGTGCAGGCTTCGCCTGCGAAGGGAGAGTGTCCCTGTCCCTGCGCCTCTGTTGTGCTGTTGCCTTGGCGGGAACCTTCAGGACGGTGACCGTGGTGACGGTGGACACGGGCATGTTGGCCCGCGTGCAGCTTCGGCGGGGATGCTGCCTCCGTGTGGCCGCTGCTTCCCGTCAGAGGCTCGTTAGGTCAGCGCTGGGCGTTCTGGTGACCATGTCTGCCATCTCCCAGCGCTGTGCGGTCCTCTCCCAGGAGATGGCTGTGCTGGTGCTAACAGGCTGCTCTGCCTGCTGTGCTGACCGTCTCCTCACCACACCTTCTCCCAGGAGCTGAGTTCGGGGACTCTCTTGGGGTTGGTTCACAAGCTCACGTCCTCGGGGCCCCGAGCTGCTCCTAGGGCGGCACCTCTGACCCCGGTCCCTGCCCCCCGCCGTCCTGGCTCAGCGCCGCTCTCTGTTCGCCGTCTGCGTGCGATTTCCTTTTTCGAGGAGAATACGTCTTCCTTGCCTTTCCTATGGTTGCTCGTTCTCTCTGGTATACAAAGAACACGCCTTTCTAACATGTTTGGGGATTTTTTAAAAACACATTTCCCATCCTTTCTGGGGATTGGGGCAACAGGGAGGGACGGCTCCAGGGCACAGCCTGCTGTCCCGGCCCAGCGGGCTGTTGTCCACAGCGTGGCCTCCAGGCCGACCGTTGGCGGCAGGAAGGCTGCCTCGTGGGAACTTCATTACCCCCCTCTCACCGTGCCTTTCGTCTTTCCTTGCAACGTGCACCAGCCCTGGTTTTATGCTGCCAGTGCCTCTGGCCATGCGGTTCCATTGGAACTGCTTGGCTTGAGGTGGAGAGAGAAGCATCCCGGGAGAACTCTCTCAGCCCATCGGCGGCTCCCTGTGCCAGCAGCGTGGGGGGCAGACCCACTGCCTGCTTCCCACGGGGGGCCATGTGGATATGGTGTCCGTACGCTAAGCCCCTTCATTTCTTAAATTTCCCAGACCTCAGAGGCGTTTGCGGGCACAGGAGGGTGCAGGTTCTGCTGACGCCATACAGACGTCGGTCAGCACAACGGGTTTCCAGTAACCAGCCTTAAGCTGGTTAGCATGGATTTCTTCTAATCAGGACCCAGTTAGATGGAGCCAAGACAGAACCCACAGGGCTACAGGGAAACGAGCAGTAACATGATTATGTGGTAAATGGAGCTCAAGAAGTGGAATAATCATTTCATGAGTTTACATAACACAGACACCTGAGGGATAACTAAGTCTTGAGGATGTTTTTATTTTTAAAAATCAAGTGGAAACTAACACCCTCTTTGAAGGAATTAAGCCACTGAGCTAGTGGTTGAAGTCAGTTGAGGGAAACATTTCTTCCGTAAAAAAGGAATCTGTGGGCTCCGGGCATCCAGATTCAAGACATCATCACGCTGTGTGTGAACATGTTATATGATTCCACTTATTTGTATCTTCCTCTTGAGTTTGTTTCCAAAATATTAAATAATAGATTACAATGAATAATTTGGAAGCAATGACAAGGGGCTCTGATGTTACAACTCTGAGACATTTGCTTAGGTGGATGGGCCTCTCGGAGATGACCTTTAAGCTGAGATGAGGAAGAAGAGCAGCTGAATGGAGGAAATACGTTCCAAGCAGAGAGAAACAGCTCAGTGTGTTAGGAATTGACAGCATACAGGCATGCAAGGGGGAGAGGATGCCAAAACCTGGCTAGGCAGGATGTAGGGTCATCTAGGACCTTATAGATCAAAGGCCACAGACTTCATCCCAACTGCAGGCAGAAGGCACGGAAGGGCAGCTGTCATATTAAAAAGTTCTGGGTGCTCTGTGAAAACCAGACCAGAGTGCAAAGGGGTAGCAAGCAACTATTGGTAGGCTCTGTGGTCACTCGATGAGAAGTGATGGCCCCGGGGCGGCTGTGGCGTGAATGGAGTTTTGGTAGGTGGGGTTTGCCAGGTGGGGTTTGCCGTTGAATGGATGAGGAGGTTCGGGCAAAGCGAGGAGCGACGGCTGACTTAAGACAGGTGTCAGCAGGTGGGCGAATGGTGTTGCCGTTGGCTAGCAAGGGAGGAAGGATGGTTTCGGAGAGCATCTCCGAAGTCTCGCCTTAGACATGTTACATCGAAGATGCCTGTGAAGTAGAGATGTCAAAAAGACAAGTCCAGAGATAAAGATGTAGAGGTGTTTGGCATGTCTTTAGAAAAACAAATGGGAATGGGGAGGAGAAACGGTACACTACAAAATAGGGTCCAAGCCCAAGTCTTCAAGACGCTGAGTACTTAGGGTTGGAGCAGAGAGCAAGGAGTCAGTGCAGGAGCCTGGGGAACCGCAGCGACACAGGCAAAACCCAGATACTCCGGAGGAAAGCTGTGCTGAGAGTTCAGGACAGTGGAGACTTGGGGTGTGGCAGCGCCAAGATCATCGGTCACCTTGTGAGCAGTTTCGGTGGAGACAGAGCCTCGCGGGGTTCACGGGTACCAGGAAGGTGAGGAAGAGAGGAACTGCCCACGCAGACAATCCGCTCGGTGACTCATTCCGCGTAATGAGCAATTGCTAAGGAACTGCAGGCCTTGTGGCGGCATGGCTGTGACTCCCTGCGGTCTGCTCTGATTACAGCGACTCGGAGGGGTTCCTGGTGGCTGCAGAGCCACTCACTACCTCATCAAGCCCGGGCTCTGGCCCTGGCCACTCCCCCAGCTGCTCGTTTGGACTTTGTGATTCAAGGAGAGCGGCTGGCCTTTTATTTCAGGGAGAGTGCCACCTCCTCCCTGATTGCTCAGAGCTCCGCTCCCGGCTCCCCTGGCACAATGGCAGAGGCCCGCGTGGCTGGGTCTCCTGCCCAGCTCACTTCACTGGCAGGTACCAGGTTTTTCTCCTCACCTGCAAACTGTCACCAGGAGCCTGCCTCGCATGCTCTGTATAATCATGTTTCAACTAAAAAGAGAGAAAAACACCTCCCTGGCTGTGTAAGGGTAAGATTCCTAGGACCTTTTGTGATCAGAAATAACCTTCATTTTTGGCCGAGCGGGAACACCTGTGACTAAAATCCACGTGCGTGTGATGGCGTGGTGCGCCTGGTCACTGTGGTCCGGGGACTGTCGGTACGTGGTGATACAGCGTGTGTCCTGCGTGCCTGCCCTATTGGGAGTAAGGTCGCAGGGAGGTGAGGACGGGATGACACAGTTCTGGGCATTCGAGAAAACGGTTTATGAATGCGTTACTATCGAGGGAGCAAATGTGCATGCAGAGTTTAATTTTTACTTTCTCAGCTTTGTGGAGCCTTGGAAGTGCTCTTTTGGGGGTTGTTACCTTAACTGGACAAACACAGTAAATTCTTCCTTAGCTGAAGGCCGAGCAGATTTCAACTAGAAACCAGACAGAACTGGACGTGAATGGTTGAGGTTCCAAAGCAACTTGGGACCAGCAGGCTTCTGGCTCCTCCTCGGGTTGTACTAGAGAATCCGAGGAAGGCCGGACTTCACGCCGGAGAAAGCGTGCCTGTGCGTGTAGTCATGCCTCTAGACTGAGTTCCAAGACCACATGCAGCCCATCCACAGACCCATCCAGTTTCCCAGCTGTGCCTGATAATAAGAATCATCAAGGGCACTTATTAAGCTGCAGTTCCTAGATCTCAGCCCAAACCTACTGCATCAGAATCCAGGGACCCGCCCAGCACTGGAACTGTCAACGGTGCTCTGGAGCTAGCAAGTCACTCCCAGCCACTTTGGACGTGTGTCATTGTGAGTTTTCCAATAGCCACGCTAAGAAAATGGTGAAGTTAGCTTTAATAACAGCCCAGTATATCCAAAATACTACCATTTCAACATGTAATCAGTATTTTTTAAATTATTGCAATATTCTAGTCTTTTTTTTTTCCGTATTAAATCTTCAAATCCCAGAGTGGATTTTGTATTTTCTGCACATCCCATTTTGGATTCACCACATGTCTGTGGGTCTGGAGCTGTTGTCTCAGTAGTTTATAGTGTTTTTTTCCGTCCAAATGAGTAGCAACGGGGACAGGACTTTTACTGCAGGCTCCTGCCTCACTCAGAGGAAAACAGAGTAGCCGGCATTTGAGGTTTAAACATGAGGGTTAGCCTGCCTTTGTATCTTTAAATAACCGGCATCCTGCTGTCCTGTAGTTCATAGGAGCAGTTCCCTCCCATCCCTGAGGCCTAGGGAGCTCTTATAGGCAGTTCTCAGCTCCTGGCAATGGCTCCCCTCCCCCTCCCTGTTGGGCAGGGTCTGTGAGGGCCTCGCTGGGTTCTGGTGTCTCAGCGACCTGGGCACCAGGGAAGGAAGCCCTTTGTTTTGTTGGGGGTCCCATATTCTCCCTGTATGCAGGGTGGGGCAGGGATATGAATGGGGGGAGGGTATTGCTCTGAGCAGATTTTTTTGTTGTGAATTTATTGAGTTCATGGGGACATTTTTAATTGTCATAATTCTTTTTTCATTTGCACTATTGCATTATTAGAATGGAAAGGAAAACAGTAACAAAATGCAGGAGAAATAACACTTTTCTATTTTAAAACAATTATTTTAATTACTTTAGACAGAGGGAAATGGGAGAGGGGAGGTCATTTGTGTTCTTCTACCCTTCCTCAGCCTTGCGGGAAGGCTAAGGAGAACAGTAAAGGAGGGAAGGAAGGAGACAGACATCCTTCCTACACCGGTCACCCTTCTGGTAGGAAATAGTGACACTCTCAGATTCCTGTAGGAATTGCAACCAATTTTCCTGGTGGCTGCTAGGGCCGGAGAAACCCACCTTCCCCAGCAGGTGGGACCCACTTTGCTGCAAGACTCTGCGGGGATCCTTGGTGGTAGGGAGGCCTTCCTGGGGAACAAGGAGGGGCTGGTGGGTAGGCTTTGCTTTGAAAGATCTTTCCCCTTCAACCTCCCTCACAAAGCAGGCCGGGGTTTGGTGTTGCAATTCCTCTGTTAACTGTTTGGGAAGCTTGACTCGCTGGAGGCAGGAACAGATTAGAGAGCCACTGAACCATCTCCTGAGTCCTTCCCCCAGGTCACCTCCCCAACCCTCCTACAGGAAGCAGAGAGCTCACATACTTGACAAAAGCACGAGTTGTAAAAATTCTATGTAAAAATTCTATGCAAAGCACGAGTAGACTATGAAAGCCCTCTGTCATCCCTTTTATGTGCATTAACCTTTGCTGAGTGGTGTTTAGCCTTCTGATCTATTAGTATATCAGATATTTAGTGTTTCTGCAAAAACGGCATCCAATAGAACTCTTCCTTTTTACTTGACAATTTATCAGCCACCATGCTAATGCATTTCGATCTGCACTTTTTTAGGTTGCAGAATGGTAGACATACCCTAACCTGGCTACCCACCCCTCCCTACCCTCTAAACTTTTATAGCGAACTAGAGGCCCAATGCATGAATTGGTGCACCAGTGAGGTCTCTTGGCCTGGCCTGTGGGATTGGGCCAAAACCGCTCTCCAACATCCCTCAAGGGGTCCCAGATTATGAGGGCACAGGCCAGGCTGAGGGACCCCAACAGTGTACCATCAGGTCCAGGGAGACAGAAAAGGTTGGCCAGCTAAGGAGGGACCGTGGAAGGGTTCAAGGTGTGTGTAGCCTGTCTTGCTCAGTCCCCATCGGCTGGACCCCAGCAGCAAGCTAACCTACCAGAGCATCTACCCCCTAGTGGTCAGTGCACATCATAACAAGTGGTTGAGCAGCCTTAACATCATTAGCATATTATGCTTTGATTGGCTGAATGGCCAACTAGACACTTAGCATATTAGGCTTTATTATATAGGATGCTTCAGTGAATGCAGCTGTGATCTTGTCTTTCAGCACCTACACTACCTCTTTTTAAGAAAAAAATCCTAGAAATCAAGTTGTTTAGCCAAGGAATGTGTTCATTTTCCATTTTGCTAGATACTGCCAAGTTGCATTCCAAAATGATCATGCTAATTCACATTCCTCACACTCAGTGATCTTTCTAGGACTTTCTTCCATAAATTCTGGTTTCTTGGTTTGTTCCAGGGAACCAATACCTTTGTTCTGAAGGGGTTTTAACCATCGTCGCTGAGAAACTGCTCACCCTCCCACCCCTTGTGTGGTGCTCAGTATTGGGGACACATGAGGAACCAAACCAAGTGAGATCCTTGCAATCCCAGGGCCTGCATGTCAGTGGGGAGTCTGTGGAGCTCAAATAGATAAACCAAGTCATAGCAGATGTGAAGTGTGACACCATGCAATGATGCTAACAGGCAGTTAACTTAGATGGGGAGTCCAATGAAAGTGCAAACATAATTTCAAGGGAAACAAGGACCTTTGAAATGAGAGTAACACTAATTCTACTCCACCTTTTTGTTTTGCAAGGTAGGATCATGTTGATTTCAACGAGTTGGGATTTGTCCATGGCAGGCTGCCCAAAGCAGAGGTTTCTGCTCTTGAATCCGAAAGGTTCAGGTTATGCGCAGGACACTTGGAAAAAGAAGGGTGTAAAGACTGGGACAGGGAATTTCTAGATTAGCTCAGTTTCTCCACCTGGAAGGGACTTATCGTTAAAGAAAGCAGGCTCACACTGGCCTTCAGGAGTGCAGAGGGAGGTGGGAGGCTGCACTGAGGGGAAAGGGAACTCTTGCACCCTCTAGTACTATTTTCCTTTTCGTACCACCTCTTGAGACTTGGCAGGCTAAACACTGCCAGGGTAGTAGCCACTCCATCATCATCTCAAGTTACTCTTGGCATGCTCTCTCCATGACAGAGAAAAGAAGTTGAAGTCCAGAGTTCAGGAGTTAGTGAGTGCCTTGGAAAGACTCACCAAGAGCAGTGAAATCCGCCACCAGCAATCAGCGGAGTTTGTGAATGACCTGAAGAGAGCCAACAGGTAAGCCCCCTTGCTTGTGAACTCACACCAGGGAGGATGGTTCCATAATTACTGGGAGCCACACTTGAGAATGCAAAGTCCTTGCCTGCCCTCTTAGAGCCTGGTCTTCCCTATGGCACAACGTCTCACAGAAACCTGAGAAATGCTGGGTAAAGACGCGGCCTTGAGCCAAGAGTCTGGGACATGCCGCACAGAGAATGTGTGGTCTTTCCCTTCTTACTCCATACAGTAAAGTTTTGGGAAGGCATGCAATTTTTTAAAAACCTATTTGTGTTTATGCCAATGTTTTCCAAACAAAATTGGTGCCAGACCTTTTATTTGAGTAACATTTACTGTCTGGTGGGAACATTTTAGGCTCAGGACCCCTTTATACTCAATTGAGGACTTCAAAGAGCTTTGTCCTTGTATTTATCTAATGACTTTTTTCATTTTAGAAACAAAAACAATTTTTTTCAAGTTTTTATTAACTCATTTACTTGAAAATATACATTATTTACCTGTATCACACACAACCTTTATTTAAACTATTAACTTATTTTACAAAAAATAGAATGGTACTGTTTTTACAATTTATACATTGCTAGTATCTGGTTTAATAGTATCTGGTTTAATTTGTTTTGAAATAGATCAAGGAAATCAGCTTCCACTGTAGGGAGAAAATACGGGACCTCACACACCTCCCTCCCCAAAAAAGGCTCAGGCGAATCTGAATGCACATGGGGTGCTGCTTTGGAGGCAGAGGGCCCCGGGACTTACCTCGCCCTGGGCTCAACCTGCCCTTTCTTCACGGGCTCCCAGCGGGGACAGTTCACAGAGGCCTGTATTTTACTCTTGTCTGGCTGGTGTTAGCTTTCTGGCCCGAGTGCTCTGAATCCCACCAGTCCACAGAATAACAGGAAGTTGTCCAGCCACTCTGCCCTTGTCCCAGGTGAGCTAAGAGGTCTACACTACAGTGAGGCACTCTTTCCTGAGGTGAACACTTGACTGTTTGTTGTAGGCAGCCATGAACAACAGACACACACAGTATTTGAATTTAAATGACAGATTTCTGGACTTCAGGTCTCTTTCTGCTTATTTTGGATGTGGCTAGTTTGGATTGTTGGTTTAAATCTCTGCTAATGCATTAGTGACAAGCCTCTAGCAGTTGAGCTGAATGCGTCATGGTTAAACCGAGATGCTTGGCCATGAGCGTTGAAATACTAACCACTTGACTTCAGATTCTTACTGAGAGGCTGAGTGACCTGTTCTTCGGAGCAGTGCTGACTGGACCTGGCTACCCAGTGGACAAGACAGTGTGTGTGTCTGTCTCAGTGCTATCTCAGGTGAATCTTCAATCTCATTCCCTTCTGCTCCCACATAGCAACCTGGTGGCTGCCTATGAGAAAGCAAAGAAGAAGCATCAAAACAAACTCAAGAAGCTGGAGTCTCAGATGATGGCCATGGTGGAGAGACATGAGACCCAAGTAAGGATGCTCAAGCAAAGAATAGCTCTGCTAGAGGAGGAGAACTCCAGGCCTCACACCAATGAAACTTCTCTTTAACTACTTGGCACTCGGGCACCAAAGTCCTACCAGTGGAAGCTAAATTATAGCAGGTCACTGGAGAGAGAAGGGCTCCAGGTGACAGAGTACCTGTTGGGAAAATTAAGAGATTGGCAGGCAGGTCAGCACTAGGACAACGGAGCACCGTGAACTCAGCCCTGGAGGTGAGCGTCCCTGGTGACACTGTACAGACCACCCCCCGAGGATCCTGCTCCTCCACTCCCGGCCATGGACCGCATGTAAATGCCCGCTGTGCGCGCCACGCTCAGCAGGCCTTGCTGTTGCTGCCAGCACTGGCTTTGTCATGCTCCCACCTTTCCTGCGTCAGTGGTGTCCCAGGCATTTGTCTTATTGGATTTTCCACCCTTTCCTTCGGTTTGGCAGTGACCTCCTCTCTGGCATCCCGATTTCTCCTTTCGTCCTCCTCCAGGAGAATGGGCGGGGATCTTCATATCTAGATTTGCTTACTGAAGCTTTGGTTTTCAACTCTAAGATACAGATTGCCACTCAGAGATGCTCTGGGAGGTAGATTACAGGAAAAAGGCAGATAGCTGTTTCAGTCCCAGATATGAAGTTATAGGTAAAGCAGGCACAGGCCTGTGCCTGAACAATTCTGTATGGAAGAATGAAATTGCCTTCAGCTCTCTTCTGACTGTGGTATTGCCCCTATCAAGTGGAGCCTTATCAATAGCCAAGGCTTGGCGCTGACAGAATCCTGTTGATACGTGTATTGCAACTAAAATTGTATCTAATTTTTTTTCAGAGCAGAGGAACATTTTTAGTACTTTCCACCCACCCCAGAGCACTACATAATTGCTATTTGCATGAATCAAAGTTCATCCACAAATTATATGTAGCTCTGGACCTGCCTCTAATTTCTGTAAAGGAAAGAGCCAGGACCCTGAGCAGATAGTTTCGCAGGCTGATCCCACCCATTTAAGAGATTTCTACTGACCTGCCAGTTCGACTCTGCTCCCAAGGCTATGAAGGGCAGGGGTGAGGGAATGGTTCTTGAGGCCTCCTTTTCTCCCTGGAGACGTGGTGATGGTTAGCATATGGTGCTTAAACAGGTAAAATCTCAACAAAATGGTAGCAGGGCAGGACCAAAGTACCTGAATTCTCTCAGGAAGGGCTTCCATCTTAAATTCATCATTCCTTTCCTATTGTAACCTTCACCCTTTCACTTTCTATAGTTGCCCTACAGAGACATTTTATTTTCAAGGACCACTTGCCATTTATTCTATAGTACCTAATGTCCACCAATTACGTCCCCAAGTTAAATGTTTTCAGAGAGCATGAATCCAGGTCCTCAGCCTTCGGCATTCTAACCACAACCTTGGAGGGCAGAGTTTTATCCCAAAAGCAACCAACTTTCTCAGGTAAGCAGTGAGGCTGCCCAATCTTAAAAAAAAAAAAAGTCAACTGGAATCGGTCTGGAAAAACCAGTTTGTGGGTGCTTAGGTCACTAAGAAAGTGCCTGCTGGTTCGTGTGATTTTTTAAAGTCAATTTTTACTCTTTGGGTAAATTTTCATGTTGTCACAAGGAAAATGTTTTGGCTGAAAAGTATATCCAAAAATCAGTTTTCTCCATTTTTCTAGCTTGCCTAGGGCAGTGGTCAGCAAACCGTGGCTCATGAGACACATGCGGCTCTTGGGCCCCTTGAGTGTGGCTCTTCCACAAAATACCATGGCCTGGGCGAGTCTATTTTGAAGAAGCGGCGTTAGAAGAGGTTTAAGTTTAAAAAACTTGGCTCTCAAAAGAAATTTCAATTGTCCTGTTGATATTTGGCTCTGTTGACTAATGACTTTGCCAACCACTGGCCTAGGGGAATGTCCTCCTCTAAGCAAACGGGGCATGCATTCATGGCTTTCTGACATAGGAATAAAGTCTTATCAGCTGGCCTACCATTCTCATTCCAAGTTAAAACAGAGAACCCACCCTTGTAGGGTTAGTTCATGTAACCCTTCCAGACCAGAAGGTCTTGGCTCTTCCAATAAGAGCCCCTGTATTACTGAAACTACCTGGCCTCATTCTGAGTTTATACTTCAATTAATACTTTTTAAATATGTGTTGAGTAGGTGAAACTATTCCCCAGTGAACTGTTACTTTTATAAATGTGTAGAATAAAAAAGCTATCATTAAATAGTTGATTTCCTTTCCTGGTATTTTTCAAATACTCCTCATTGAAGATGAACCAACAGGCACTTGGTTATGCTAATTGTGGGGCCTACTAAAACTGAATTGATCATTAAGTGATTGCAGGTACCTGGGTAATTTTCCTTTTTTATAAGCTGAATTCTTCCTAAATAGAAGCTGGTTTATATAACATCTCCATCAGAGGTAAAACAATGTTCTTAATTCTAACTTGTATGAGATATTAAAAAAACAAACAAAAAAAAACACACAACTTTAGTTAGATCTTCGTATTTTTAACTGTTTTTCTCCCAGTGGTTTCTTACCCCTTTTAGGCAGTTTAACTTCTCTGTTCAGTCTTTGTCCCTTAGAGCAATGGGCATGGGAAGAAAAGACCCATTTCAGTTTTCTTGAGTGCAGTTCCTGCCCACTGCTGAATGGAGGCAAAAATCACTAAGAGAATTCTACTGTAGTACCATCAACGTCTAAGTGGGCCTACCAACGATATCTGATGTCTGCCAAGCTCCAAGTGCTCCAGCTACCAAAACTGCCATGCCACACACCGTAGGTGGTAAGATTGCTTTTTGAAACTTTCACCAAAAGTTATTTATGATTGTCAGCTAATGACAGACATTTATTCATCATGCCCTCGAGCCCCAGAGGAATTACGAAGTGTCTCAGCATTGCCAATGCAGCTAATTAACTGTTTCATACTCACTCTCAACTGCTGGCATGTCAGCTTTCTGAAGTTAATATCCAGTGCTTGAAACTGGAAATATGTCAATAAAAAAATTAAGTACTAGTTAAACATAATTGCTCAATTCTCCTTTGAGGTGCATGCTCTTCTGAGTTCTCCTCTGCGCAGTACTTTGCAGGAACCCCAGAGTGACGTGCAAAATGCATAACTAGGAGTATGGCTCATCCATGAAACTAAAGTGAAAATTTCATCATGTTCACTAAGTTTAAAGCTGCATCTATTTCTTGATGCAGCAAATATAGTTAGTTTCTAGAGGCCAAAAGGGGAGCAAGGTCTCTGATGATTAAGTTTTGCATTGAGGGCATAGTCATTATATTGGTAAGTTTTTATTTGGGATGGGCAGACATAAGTAACAATTTAATTATTTTTCATTTTATCTAGAGAATGTCTTGTCAAGAAAAATTGCCACCTTTCACTGAGGCTTACAAACTTACTAGTGCTCAGAAGCTGGCACTATTTTGTAAGAGACAAAACTTGTTACAAAACAAAAATTATGCCTTTCCTGCACTCCCAATTCTCACTCAAATTTACCCAAATCCTATTCTAGATCATTGAAACTCCGTATGTCCACAGGCCAGGCTGAAGTTAGCCTTGAACATGCCACCTTTTGCAGTTCCTCTGCTTCACACACTTAGTTACTTCCTGCCTGACTACATTTGTAGTCACTAACAGATATAAAAGTTAGCCTAAAGCATTTAACTGGTACAAGTTTGAATAGCAGCTGTTTTGCTAAATCTTGTATAAAGAAAACTAGTTCCACATATAGACAACAATTACATTTTAAGATTTTGCATGTGACCTTGACAAGAAATCTTTCTGCTCCATAACAACAAATACTACTGGATAACCATAGACTTCACCAACAGTACTTGATTTTTCCATAGTAGGTAGATACAAAATCACTGATCCAATAATCATCTGATATATCAGCTCAACAGAATAGAACAAGCTATATACAAAATTCCCCCATATTCATACTGATGACATGTGTTGTTCCTGGTCTACATTCACTTTTGCACTTTCTGCAAATTAAATCCATGTGGAAAATGTTCTGTTTGTAGAACTTCTGGTACTCACTTATAGTGTTCAAGTTAGGACTGCCAAGTGAAAAAAGAAAAGGACCCTAATAATCTGCTTTGCTAATGAAACATGTTCCTTTCTTACTACTTCTGATAAGTTTTTAGACATTGTCAAGACTTACTTTGCATGAGATTTGTTTCCTATTTGAAAATGTGCTACTTTTAAACCACTTGAACTATTAGAAAACCTGCTTGAATGTACTATCAATTATTAAAGCACATGTGACTGTCAGTATTGTTCTACTGTTTGTACTAAAAGTCTCATTTTACAGTTGCTACTTAGCCTTGTTCTATACCTTGTAGATTATTCATTTCTATGCTTTAAATGTTTCTAGATGCTTTTCATTTTATTAGCGGATGTAAAATAGCTACTTTGTGTTCTTTGATATATAATTGTTTTTTAAAATCTCCATTTATTTATACAGAGACATTTATAATATTTTACAAACATTCTTATATTCTGAATAAATATTTCTAATTCCAAGATGTACTGGAACTGTGTTCATTAAAGGGAAAGACTGTCCTTTCATAATACTGTTTGTCTAACATGTAAATAGCAGATCTGTGGGGGTTCACACTAAATCACAGCCCTAGTCAAAGCAGGACTAGAAGACAGACTATAGTTAGGTTAAAAAGAAACCTCATTTATCACCAAATTTCTATTTGGCAGCCTGTTCAAGTTTAATATGAATGCAAAGTTATTAATGGATTTTCTTTTCCTTTTAAAACATCACTGAAACGGGGAATATAATCAAGAATTGGAAATACAAGGAAGTCATACATGACTACAAGAAAGGATGGCAACCAGCTTTGTAATATGTCATTTCTCACTATTTCAGCGCAAAGTACCTCTGACAAGAGTGTAATATCTTGGTCACTCTCAATATTTAACTAAAAAATATTATTGAGATCTATAGAAGAGAATATATTTCTTCCCTGAGATCCAAGGACTGTCAAGTATTAAAAACATGATTATAGGACAATTCAAGAATTGCGAGATTATGTATCTAACTCATACTCAACAACCAAA